AGCTGGCTCATCTTCACGAGTCGTTTCCCACAGTGGAGGTCATACAAACCCGGTTTCTGAGCATAAATCAGCGTTAAGGAGAAATTTCTGCACAGATTATGATTTTATTCAGACCTTAAAGATCCAGAACAGACTGCAGGCTGCAACAGGAAGCCCTCTGGATAAGAGCAGGAGAAGGAGCAAAGGAGGACACAAGTTAGAAGGCAGATGAGGGTAATACTAGCTAATGCTAGCTTGCTATAGGGGTTCAAATAAACACTTAACCAATGATACAGAGATTTAATGCTTACATATAGGAGTTATTAATGCTGTATAACATGTTAAATTAGAGGTTCCATGTAAATGTTCCTCTTCCTCACTGAACAAATCCCCACTGATCCTCCATCACACGTTTAAGCTACATCTATCACTACATGATTGGACCGTGCTTTATTGCCAGGTTGGTGCCTTTAACCTTTTTTTTTTTATTTTAAATGAAGCACGATGAGCTGTAAGCCCAGACACATCCAAAAAGACTCTAAAAAACATTTAGGATGTTGATTATATGTAGTAATGGACAGGTGTTTTTCAATGTTAACCATAAAAACACTGAAGCTAAAATATCTGTTTGTTTAGATCAGTTTAGTGAACCAGCAGGTTGGGGTTTAAAATGGTGGAGAGGTGATCAGTGTTTGTAGCAGAGAGAAACAGAAGTCCTGACTTTGCCACTGATTTACGGAAACTGTGAGTGGAGTAAACTGTGGCTCCATGAAGTCTTCCCTGCCTTAAACACACACACCTACATACACAAGCCATCACCCATAAATCTGACTTCTTCCATGTTAAAACGTGTGTTTTGGTGATGAGCTTCAGTTAAAACCTGCTGGAAAATCCAGCAGCTTCAATGTTTCTTTTTTTTCTTCTAAACTCTGGGTTCTTTTTTCAAACCAGAAAAGCCCACAAGAGGGCGCTCTCCACAGCAGCTTTGGTGCTGATGTCAATCTTAGAAGGATGCTAACATTAGCCCGCCATGCTAGCAGAACTCCTGTCTCTTTTCCAACAAGAACAGTGACTCCAACACATTTAGAAAGTCCCTGCAGGCAGTTGGAAAATGTTATGTTGCTTCTTTATAAAGATTTTACTTATTGTATACGAGTCCAGGAGAAAATAGTAAAAAATCCATGACAAACTGCTAATGTTGCTAAAGCTACATTCACATGAACACCCCTACACACGTCACTTTAAGGTTGAGTCAGACTATGTGACTTTTTTTTTATTTATAAGCCGGTATTCGCAAAGATTTTCCAACAGATTACCACATCCTGCTGGTGTTTTATATGTTATTATTTAGTTTTATGCTTTAATTCTGCTTAATTTCTTATTAATTAAAGCCTTATTGTGTATTCCAGTAACAACAGTGGCACAGTAACGGAGGTAAACAAGAAAGCAATGTTGCTTACTTGCTTAGCAACGTTGCTAAACAAGTTAGCGTCTCACAGAAAAGTGATTAGGTTTTCAAGAAACCGTAAAAAATTTTGATTTTAAGAGGGCTCAGACTGGAACAGCACTGGGAATACCTTATGAACGCTGGGGTCCACCAAAGAGGAAGCTAATGATTTGATGAATTAAAGGTTGTCCAAACATTTTAATGCATTTCATTTATTGTCATTCCAATGAAAAAATGTTAGCCTAAGACTTTTTAAAATGTATTTACTGTATTTTCGCGACTATAAGGCGCATATAAACGTCTTTTTTTCCCTCAAAATGTGCGGCGGGCCCTATAGTGCGGTGCGCCCTATGTGTGTTGTTACTGCGGATGTTGTTGAGACCACCATGAGAAAAAGGGGGAAGTGTGGGCGTGGATTGTGTATAAAAGAACAGGTATGTGCTTTATGCAGAACATTGTTGTCTTAACAACCCTAAAAATGGCAATGAGACACGCCTATTAAGCACAGTTTAAACTGAAGGCTATCAGCTACGCAGAAGAACATGGAAATCGAGCAGCCGCGAGAGAATTCAAGATTAATGAATCGATGGTTCGCAAGTGGAGGAAGATGAAAAACGAACTCTGACAGGTGAAGAAGACGCAGCTGAGTTTTCGTGGACATAAGGCGAGGTGGCCCGAGTTGGAGGAAAGACTCGAGCGGTGGATCATCGAGCAAAGAACGAGTGGGGCGAGCGTTTCGACGGTCGTTCGATTAAAAGCAGTAACGCTAGCGGAAGAAATGAAAATTGAACATTTTCAAGGAGGTCTGTCGTGGTGCTTTCGTTTTATGAAACGGTGCAATTTTTCCATCCGGACCAGGACTACAGTAGCGCAACAACGTCCGGCGGATTATAATGAAAAGCTGGCGAGCTTCCACTCCTAATGCAGCAAACACATCGCCGACAAACTCATCCAGCCAAGCTACATTACCAACATGGACGAGGTGCCGCTCTATTTTTAAATACGCAGTAGAGGTATTTAAACATAGTAGATGTTATTTACAGGTATATAAAACCCGCGCCCTATAGTCCGGTGCGCCTTGTGTGTGTGTTAAATACAGTAATGGCACACATAACTGAGACTGCGCCTTTTAGTACGATGCGCCTTATGGTCGTGAAAATACGGTATTTCAAATATTTCTCCTCTTAAAGCTGTGTCCCTATTTACGTTTGTTAGAAACAGAAATTCTCCTTTTCCTTGATGTTATTAAAGGAGGCTCTGGGGGCGACTGCCTAAAACATAGAGTCAATGTACATCAGTTTATTTAATATCAGTTGGCTTAAGGCTGGTTTATTTTCAGGAACCAGGTTGTCTGCGTGTGTCACCGATATGCCCCCCCTCCATTCTATCTGAGAATAAATTAGCATCCAAACAACACAAGCTAACTAAATTGACTCTCTTCTCCAAGCAGGTAAAATGGATCCTGCCCACAACTGAACCCAGAGTAGATGATTTTCCACTGAACTCATAAGCAATTTCGAACTCAGTTCCGACATCACCGATAAATTTTGCTCATAAGTCTATACTGAAACTGTCCCCACTGTAGAAACATTTAAATAACAACCTGGCAAGATATTTATGAACACTTTAACCCTAAGCTCCCATCTTTTCATAACCTTTGCCCAAAGGAAATGGATATCAAAATGCCATTGGTTAATTAAACCATATAAATCCCCCATGCTTGTGATGCATCTCATGTGAAAGCTAAGATCTTCTACTTTTTCGTGATATCTGTACAAACTCCAACCTGAGCTATGCAACTTTAAACATGTCAAAAATTATATTTTTTTCTCTTTCAAAAGAAAATGCAACTCTTAATAGTCTATATCTTGGGTATAATTCATGGTTGCCCTCTCCAACTCACTACACTTGTTGTTCATGTTGTGGACAACAACTGTATAATACTTCACATCTCTAGTCATTAACATTGTCAAACTGTGAGCCTATGTGTATGCAGAAGATCCAAATTAGATCCAAATTAGAACCAAAAGGGCCAAACTGGATTATTTGAATTTTATGTCTAATTTGACCATAAAACACATGAAGTTTTACAAAAATTTTAATTCAAACAACTTTTTTGATCTTCTCGCTCCCTAAGCACATTAATAAGCATTATCTTTTCAGCCCGCTTCTACACTTTCAATACTTCATGAAAAGCTCATCTCATTGGCTTACAAAATATGTCAGCGTTTTATTGGTCACTGATTTGGAGAAATTCAGCTGAACAAAGACTGGGGACGGCGTTTCTTATGTGTTGGACGTTTCCAGCGTATTCTGGATACTGAGAAAGGAACTTATGCTTGATTTTGGGAGCAAATACATTTGTGAATAAGTAGCGTAATTAATCTAAAACGGTAGACATAAAACTGTAAAAAGAGAAAAAAATTAGCTCTTATCAACTTTATTTTTACTTCTATTTGGGAAAAAATTAGTTTTCAAAGTTTATTATGTTATTTTATCTTATGGGATATTGAACTGGATAATACTTTTCTGTGGACAAAACCAGCCCATTTATGGCAGGATAGAATGAGTGCCAGAAAACAAAAACAAGAAGTGAAAATGATGGATTCTAATTTAATTACAGATAATTCATTGTTGTTGTTTGCAGAGTATAGTTTGAGACGATCATTGTTTTCTGTAGGACAGCCTGATTCTAAAGAGGTCCAACATGCTTGGTTTTGTTTACAAATAAGTTTACTGTTAGATGCGGAACAAAATGTGACGTCAAACCGTTCCGGTGTTCGGGCGGTGGGAGCTAAGGGGTTAATGATTTTTAGGATGGATGGAATAAAAAAATAAAAACTCTAATGCATTGCTTTTATTTACCATGCAGCTGTTTGACAGTCACTGTAATCAGGAGCAAACAGAGCTTTGAAACCAGGTGACAATGCTACCTCTATGGGGTTTTAAGTTTCTTCTGCCCCCTTGAGGACAAAACTGATTATAGCAACAGAAATATATTTTATCAAAAAAGGTTTTGAGAGTTATTTTCCGGTTTTTTAGATTTTAATTTTTTCAATTTGTTTTATTCATTAACGACTAAATTTCTATTTCTTTAAATATATATTTTTTTACAGATTTTATATTTTCGATTTCTTTTTCAGATTGAGTTTTACCAATCTAATTTTTTTCCGAGTTTGTTTCAAAGATCATATTCTTTTCACTTCAAAGTCATTGCAGAAGGTCTTGACCAATAGGAATGATTGTTGCTGATCCAGCAGACCAATAGAAATATCCCTTCCTGAAGTGAAGACAATGTGATCTGAGGAACGCAATTAAAAAAGAAGGCAATTCTTAACTCAACCTGAAAAAGAGAAATTTGAAAAATAAAAATAAAAGATATATATATGAAACAAAATTTGAAATCAAATATGAAAGGAAAAAGCCTAAAAAACAGTAAGGTTACTTTATTATAATAAACTACTATTAAAAGGTCTTATAAAGATTCCTTTCTTTGCAACAATGAAACAAAATTCACTCTATATCTCAGCATATGAAGTTATATAAAAGATATAAACACTAATAAAGCTCCTACCTCCTGCGTAGTCCCACACACGGTGATTAGTGAGCTGCATGGCGTACGTGTGCTGCGTTTCCTCAAAGTGCTTGTAGGCATGCCGACTGACGTAGCGACCGCAGCCGATGTGCCCGCAGATCAAACAAATCCACAGGTTCTGACAAAATAAATCAAAAAGAAAAATCAGAATGATAAATTTAAGGTAAAACTCCAACAAGATTAATTGGCTCTGATAAATATGACATCATTAGTCACCTCCTGAACTCCACACTCAAAGCATTTGTTCTCTTCAACCGGCTCTGGTGTCTGACAGTAGCGACACACAGGACACCTAGAAAAACACAGGACGCACTGAGCTGAGGTCACCGGCGCTTTGTGAGGGAGAAGAATACAAGCAAAGAGCTGCACAGGCAAACAAAGCTGAGGGAAACATCCAGAACAGTTAGAATCAGGCACACATTGGCTGCCTGTAAAGAACAGGAGGACGGAAAGACGTTGGCTCCTGTGAGGGGAAGAAACGGCAGCTTGAACAGGACAAAGAAGGAAGAGTCCAACTCACGAGGCGTCTTCCCACCGCTGGAGACACTGGCTGTGAAAGCTATGGTTGCAGAGGGTGGTGAGGATGCCGTTGACAGACTCGTCCATCCTCTCCAGGCACACGGTGCACTTAGGCAGCTCGGTCAGCTCCATCACTGGCAGGCTGGCTCCCTGGGAGGGGGGTGAAAGAACAAGGACAATGGCGAATATTTTCAAATCGGTGTCTTTGATCCCCCAATAAATGGATGTTTGAGGATTTTTGAAGGAAATGTAATTTTTTTTCATGATAAAATGATTTTTAAAAAGTTACTCAATCTAACTCAATTTAAACAAAACAGGACATTTTTCAACAAATCAAAACAGCACTTAAAGCTTATTGCTACAACCTTTTTATTGGCAGCTGTTGGTAAATGAATAGTACAATTTCTAAATTTAGGACAATTTGATTTAATTGCAATATCGATATAAACAAGATAATAAAGGGAGGCTGTTTCTCAATTCACTACAACGCGAGTACGGACTCGTGTCTTCGCCAAGTATGTTCTTCAGGAGAACACAGGAAAGTATGGACTCTGGGAGAACGGGAGCACGCAGGATGAATCTGGGTCAATGGGAACAGAAGCGTAATGATGATGTCACCACACGCTCTGCTCGTCTAGAGCCTCATTTCACCTCCTGTTATTAACAGTCTCTAGATAATAATAAATTCTGACCTTGTTCATTTAGTGGGGAAATAATAATTAACACAGTCAAATGAACACAAATCAAATAAATATTTTGCAGAACAAAATAAATAAAAAAATAAATAAAAAAATCGCCAGCGCTCCTTCGCGCACGGCTATGCAGAGAGAGGGCTGCTGCAGACGGGCTAACATTAGACCTGGCTGCCGTTAGCTTCGGAGATTCGCAAGCTGCTGAACGTCACAGTGATGCTTTCTCGCCTTAAATGATCTTAAAATATACTTTTATTGAACAACAGCACAGAAAAGAGAACTTTTAACTTTCAATGGAGCGCTCCATTGAAAGCTGCTGCAGTGCATGCTGGGACAGCTGTCAATCTCAAGACTGGACAACCCTGCTCTGATGCATGCTGGGTAAAGATGGAGGGAGGAGAACAACATCTGGGGACTTTGTCCGTTCTCAGCCTCCTTGTTCTTGTGAATTAGAAAAGTACTAGGGCTGAGGTTGATTATGTTTCACGAGTACACGAGAACTTACAAGTACACATATTGAGAAACGGCCCAAGACTAGAAAGTGAACAGAAGGAACAGAATCCTGAACAAATTGTGAAAATTATTTGGCCAAATTTATAAAACTTCTTCAATGAACGCTTGGTCTAAATAAAAAAAAAAAACTGACTTCAATCAGTGACCAACAATAACGTGATGATAGACGAGTAAATCTATGAGAGTTTTGTTTTGTTTATGTAAAGCTAAAACCTCAATTACAGATTAGGCTTGTCCCGATCCGATCCACGTATCGGATCGGGACGCCGATATTGGCAAAAAAAATGCGTATCGGCGAAGCATGTAAAATGCCGATCCAGACTGCCGATCCAGTTTTTTTTTTTAATCCGGTCCGTATTTTCCAGTTTCGCCGATTGAAACGATCCATTCCACTATTTTGCGGCAGTGTTCCCCTGTTTTGCATTTTTATTAAAACTTACAGTAATACTTGCACCTTTAACTGTTTACAGTTTTACTGCTCACTGTGCAATTTCAGATTGCTATTCATAATTTTGTCCAGTTTGTGTTTATCTCTTAATAAACATGGAAGTTTGTTGTTACCAAGCATTGTGTTTTATTCAATCTCACCTAATTTAGCTGGCTAGATGTTATCAAGAGTACTAAAACCCTTTTCAACATGAGTCTTACAACTAAGGCTAAATACTTAAACTTAAACTTAAATACATGCTCGGATAGGCTGGTATCGGCCAGTATCGGTATCGGATCGGAAGTGCAAAAACCTGGATCGGGACATCTCTATTACAGATACTAATAGAGCTGAAACAATTCATCAGATTAACTATTTTAGTAAAGGATTAATCAATAACTAGAGTATACAGATTGTAAAGCATGCCTTTAGCTAACAGAGTAACCCACTTAGAGCAGCAACTATACCAAGATTGTAAAAATATATAAACATTTTGGATTTAAGATTAAAAAAAATGTTTTCATCTGTCAATATGCTCTATCCAGTGGAAAAGTTTAAGTTTCACCTGGTTTCATTTTGGAAAAAGTCTCCTTTAAGTAACCTTTGGCTATCTGATTATTGATCCATTAATCGAAAAAATAATCTACAGATTAATCAATTTGCAAAATAACCGTTAGTTGCAGTCCTAAACAATGCTAATTCATAAAAATAACAAACTAAAAACTTAAAATAAGAGACAAAAACTGCAGAGGAAATATTTCTGAGGCCAAATGACATAAAAATCACCAAGAATTCAAGATCCAACTGAATCCAGGCATCTTGTTAATCCTGCACTAAATCGAAATATTGTTTTGTATGCACCATGTTTATACAACAATAAAACTTGTCTAAGTCTAATCCAGCCAATTAACCAGCTTGATCATCTTCTTAGGAGGACCTTGAGCTAAATGGACCTCGCCCACGGCTCCAGCAGGTAGAGGTCAGAGGTTAAGCCTGTCTGTTGTGTGTTTCTTTGTCAGAACACGCCTTATTTTAAACTGAAGGCTCATTAACTGACCAGTCTTGTGAGAATGAATCAGGGACACACCTTAAACTGAAAGCTAAAAGCATGCAGTCCAACAAACAAAGCATCCTTACGTCCTCGGACTTGATCACCTCCGCTCGCTCCACATAGACCAGCTGGCACACCGCTTCCTCAATGGAGTTGAACTGGCGTCCGTTACAAGCCGTGTAGAAACTGTCTGCGTCTGCCTGGGAGACACAAACAGACAGGAGAGACGGCTTTTAAGGTTCAGATGAGACAAAAGCTGCTGATCAATGATGTGATCTAATCAATTTATTGTGATTTCATTGTTAAAACAAAGAATGTATCAACAATAGATCATTTAACTTGTATAAATAAACAAAATAACTATTAAAGTACATAAGCTTCACAGAAGTGTGTGTAGTCTCTGAGCATCAGCTTAGCCGGATAGGGGGCGCTATAACTCCCTGTATAAAAGTCACAGCACTCCAAAGAAAACATAAATACTTTTTCCTTAACCTCAATATTCTGAAACGATGGTTATTGTTGACATTTTTCTAAGACTCAAGCAGAAAATGTTAAAAAATGCATAAAATCAACCATATCAGTAGAACCTGTATAGATGCACTACCTGTGAGTGCTTAGATTTGACATTTTTTCAATGATTTAAAGGAGGCATCTCCAAAGTCGGTCCTGCAGGGCCGCAGTCCTGCAGGTCTTAGAGGTTTCCCTGCTTCAGTACAGCTGATTTTCATTGATAGCTGATTAACAGGCTTTATCAGAATCAGCTGTGATTCTGATAAATCCTGTTTAATGGTTTTCTGGAAACCTTTTCATTCCCCTTTGCTTTTATTTGCTTAAGAAATATAACTTTATTAATTTCAAACGTTCAAATTTTGAGCCAATCCAGAGTCAGAAAGGTCAGAAAGAACAGATCTACTTCTGTAGATGGATCCTCAGAACAGAACTCACCTGGGAGGAGAACTTAATCAGAACCATGTACTGGTTCGGAGTGGAGTCCCGGATGATCTTCATGTGCTCCATGACGTCATTAAACGGCGCCATCAGCTTCATGAGGTCATGGCTGGTCATGGTGGCCGGGACTGTGAGGATGCACACCATGGCGCTGCGCCTCACATCCTCAGTCAGGGAGGTCATTTTGCTGCAGAACGACAAAAAGAGACATTTTAGATTCACAGAGGGTTAAATTTTCACAGCGTGGGGGTCACCGCTGCCCCGCTAACCGCACATTATGACAGAGATTTAGATTCATTAAGGAAAAGAATCAAATATCCAGCGTTTCAGAGAAAAGGGAAGGAAGGAAGGAAGGAAGGAAGGAAGGAAGGAAGGAAGGAAGGAAGGAAGGAAGGAAGGAAGGAAGGAAGGAAGGAAGGAAGGAAGGAAGGAAGGAAGGAAGGAAGCTTCAGTGAAAGAATTGTCACATACGGTAATTTATAATTCTATTTTTAAATATTTAATTTTACAATAAATTATTGATCCGTGCATTTTAATAATTTTGGCATTTTAATATTTAAATTATGTTTTAGATAAATAAATATATTTTAAAAAAGCATTATCTGTTGACTGGCGCCGGCTTCCTTTATACATCTAAATTTATTTTTAATCATTTGGCAGGACATTAAATTATTTAACAGTATTTAATATTTTTACTGAATATTTTATGTTTTAATTAAGTTTTAATAAACTAATAAATGCATTTTTTATTAAAACGGAATAATTTCAGTTATAATTTAATGGGATATTTAATTATTGAACTGTACATTCTATACATTCCTAGCATATTTAATATGTTTTAGACAAATAAATATTACATCTACTAATTTCATAGGAAATTTGCTTCATGGATGACATCACAATGATTGTGAAAACCATCTTTAGAACGCCACTTTGGTAACCCCAGACTATGAGATAAAGAAATAAGTTTGGGAGATAGAGGTACTTTTCTAGACTATCTTCTCTTTCATAGTTATGTAGACCTGTAAAGTATAGAACTATAATTCCAGACCTCCCCCAGGCTGTGTTTGAGGCCTGTTTTCTTAATCTTCTGACTCACTTGGTCTTGTACAGGTGCATGATGCCATGGACGATCTCCACTGACGGGTTCCCGCTGAAGAAGGAGATCTGTTCAGGGAGCTGCTTGGAGGGCGAGTCTGGAGCCGTCTGCTGGCTGGCGCCGGCTTCCTCAGCTCCACTCTGTGCATCCTGAGCAGCACCGCTTCCTACTTCACCTCCTGCTTTACAACGAAGGAAAAGAAATTCAGCAAAATGAAATGCATTGGTTCCTGCCTGATGAAAAGCACAGAGTTCATCCGTAGCTATGATACGAAATCAACAGTCTGCCCGTCGACGGCTCCAAAAGCTCCATGATTTTATCATTTATCCTTTAATCTATTGAGAAACCATCTAATCTAATTTAGGTAGGTTTGAGCTTAAACCTGGGTTTGTATGCAAGACTTCCATGGAGGCAGATTCATGATCTCATTACTTTCGAAAATCTCCACTGTCCAGCAAAAAATTTAACATTTAAATAATTGGAAACACATTGGAATTGGAAATGAGCTTCAGAAAGCTACTTAGCATAGCATAGTTTCCCAAACATTTCATCCAGGGACCAAGAATACATTTTACTAAATGTATTTTAACAGCCATAGAGCCTCAATGACTGAAAGCATCAGACCACCATATTGGGAAACTCTGCTGAAGCTGAATCTGATACAAATAATACATTATTTATTGGCTGCATCTGAAAATATCAAAGATATTTTCAACTCAAACTTAGATATGAAATAATACAATATAACCTACAATAACTCAAATTATATCATTGTACTTGGTCATCAAATCAATTCAGTTTAGCCTGTTAAAATCAGCTGCCTGTAGTGTCTTCAAATGTCCAGCAGGTGTCAGTATTCCGTGAGACAGAATCAACGCAGCATCAATAGTTTGGCTTAAAGATGCCTCATTAATCCATCACCAGTAAATAGTTTAGTGATATAGATATATATATATATATATATATATATATATTTTGTAAAAAACCTCATTACCGCTTTCATAGTTTTTCTTTAGGCTCCTCTAAACTGTGCAGTGAAAGTTTAGATAAATAGAGAAATAAGCAAATTTTTACCATCTGCTTTTATTAATCTTTTAACATAAAGAAGAAGGAAGCAACTGTTCAAATGAACGTTTATGGATGTGATCCATGAATAAAACATAAAATGACCCTTTGCCAAAAGCTGTGTGGTTTCCTCTAATGCTGCTGGAAACAGCCTCAACGACAGGACTCCATCAAGCTGGCTGTTAATGATGGAACGTGAACAAAGATGGAGAGCACCAGACTCTTCCTGTACTTAGTCAGGCCTCCGAGGAATGGACTTGTTTTTTCTGGCACCTCTTAGATCAACATCCAGTCCCATTCAGAGGGAGAGGTCATACCTCATACTTGTCGTTGTACCATTGATTATAATGTGAGTGATGGGAAACTGAAGTCAAAGTTCTGTGAAACATTTTGGCTTGATTTAGAACTGCATCTTATCTGACTTTCATTTAAGCTTCAGGAAAATCTCATTGAGATTATTAGTCTCTTTTGCAACTGAGTCCTGGTCAAGATGGAGACACTCATCACAACAATTCAGTAAATTACAGACAGTAAAACTATTTAAAAACATTTCTAATGCATGGTTTTCATTTCCAAACCTTGAACCAAGAGCTTAACGTGGCCTAATAGTTCCTTTAATTTCCAGTAAATTCGTCAGTAGTTGCATGCGGTGGGGACAAAGGTATGAAATTCCACCATACCAGTTTCTGGGCAAACATTGGTTACAGACTGTAGCAGAGTCTTGTGATCATAAAGGGCAGATTAGACTTCTGCAAGCGAACACATCAAATGTCGCTTGGGTCTGGTCACGAACCAGTTTATCTGGTACGCTTCTGCACCGTCGGTCTGGAATTTCCAGGGACCCAAAGCAGTTTCCCGCCAAAGCACGAGGGGGAGCTAATTCAAGAACTCGGGAGAACTTCAGCAGATGGTCACGAGAACTTTGGCGGTGCTGGCGGGAGTGTTTATCTTCCAAAACAACAATGGCGCGTCTGCAAGATATCACGGACATGGATCTGGAGTTTCTAGACATCGAAGAGGAACAGGTTCTGTTACTGGAGCAAACCTTCCTGGATTCACCTTTCATTGTAGTTGTCAGTTGCAGTTGTTCTTGGGCTTTAAAAAATTCTGCGCCCCGGCATCGGATCGAGAAGGACGACCACACAGACAACCAGAAAGGCATAGCAAGGACCAATTACATCTGATTTTTGTCTGCGCACTTCAGCTTGAGGTCTGCGCGGGTTTAACGACCGTCTGATGCGTAGTCAGGATTTTTTTATTTTTTTTTAGGTGTGCGACGACGGTCGCAGAACTTCTGTGCGAGGGGCGTGGTCACGCTCAGAGACAGATTTGATGGTTGCAGAGGCTATGCGTCAGAAGCATAAATTGGCCTGAAAGAATACAGCCCAGTCACTTTTGGCTGCATATATTCACTGAGATAAGAGGTTTAATGTGCTTACAAACAAACAAACAATTCTCCAATGCTGGCCAGCCAACACGTGTTAGGTTTACAGTGGGGGGTGGGAGGCTTATATATCGTGATAACCCTCAATGAGGCTGATAAAAACTGTCCAGTAGTTTCAATAATTGAGTTGGAGCATCCCTATCATCACTGTGTTTCTGTGGTGGGATATTTAATGCAAGAATTATGGAGTCAGAAAGAGGTCAAAATGTTTGTAAACTTAAAAATCTTAGCTGAAACTGAAAGAATAAAATTTGAAACAGAAGAAATATAAGTTGACATTGAATGTCCAATTTTTACCCTATTATCTGAAAAACTAAATAAGCAAACATAAAATAATAAGAATTGAATTTAACCCTCGGCTCGAAAAAAAAAAAAAATAATTCTGTTTATTATTTTAATTACACTTTTTCTTTTCTATTTCTTTTTTATTGCAGTTTTAGATTTTCTATTTTCATATTCAAATCCCTTTCTTTCAATATAAGTTTCTTTTTTTGTTTCAAATTCCTTTTTTAATTTCAGGTTGTTGTTTTTTTTTTTTACACTTTCAAATCAGTTTATTTTCACCTTCAGATTTTGACCCAAATCTCACGGGAGAGGACGGGGAAACATGACTGACAGCTTGTAGCAGCGCTGGAGAGATGTCCCGTTCAATGTTGCTTTCATGGACCGTGGGAACACCAACTACTTCGGCAACACACGGCAGCATTTATTTGCCTTCTTGGCAAAATCCAGTGAAAAATGTTATGTGAAAGACATTTACACTGCAGCTCTCACTAATAATCATTCCAGGATGCATTAATATATATATAATAAACAGCCATTGTGTAAACCGCAAAACTTTCCCACAACCACACAGTAAATACTGCATCCGTTCACAGAAAGATAGCGTCTGCACTGAGTGGTTCCAGCAGCCCTGCTAATAGGTTAGTTTAATCTTTTTTACAAAATACTTTGTCACAGTCCTAAATAGTGCAGTGAAGATTATGACCTTTAAAAGATGTTAAAAAGGGAAATATGCTCCTAGCGATGTTTAAAGTGGCAAAACCTTGACATGAAGATAAAGTAACATTAATTTATAAACAGAAGAAAACTTGTTGAGACTTTGCTCATTTGAAATGAATTTGTTAGCGTAATTAGCTGCCAGACACAGCTGCTGTAGCCGATTTCATCAACAGGTGCTAGTTATGGGTTAGCCACAGCAGGCTACATCCTTACAGGAAGGCAGAGGAAGGTTCGCCACATAATATATTGCCAGGAGCTTATTTCCCTTTTTAACATATTTTAAAGTTTTACATCTTCATTGCTTTATTTTTTACTGTGACAATGTAGTTTGTAAAAAAGATTAAACTTACCTGACTAGCAGTGCCACTCGAACCAGTCTGTCCAGATGACAGAGAATTTGCTTTGCTGTCATGGGAAAGTTTTGTGGTTTATACAGTGGTCGTCCATTTTTATATATAAATGCATTCTAAAATGACGATTAGTGACAGTTCCAGTGTGAATGTCTTTAACATAATTTTTACAGGATTTTTCCAAGAGGGCTAATAGATGCTGCAGAGAATGTGTTCACTTAGTAGTTGGAGTTCCCACAGTCCATTAGCCTAGTAAACTAGCCCCACCTGCTAGCGGACAAAATAATTTTTTACCTGCGAGTGGTCTAGCCTCGATCAATGCCCCAGGCCCTAGAACTGGCGGGCCAATCACAACAATTGTGCTGGAGAAAGCACAACAAGGAAGATGGCAACAACTATTGAACAGTTCTCGTTTGACTCAGCTATGGAATCAGTTTTGGAAGGATTAGACTTGGGGTTTTCGTTGAAACGTGAGCAGGAAGAGGATCTACTCTTATTCATTTTTAAGAAGGACGTATTCGCCGTTTTACCGACAGGCTGTTTGTTTACAGTCCCCCACCAGCTTTCTGTCGCGCTTCCTACGTCACAGTCAGTTGCTCTCATTGGTCAGAGCGTTGGCCAATAGGCACAGACAGCGGTTTGAAAAACAACGGGTTGTTCTCAACAATCTTCCTCTGTCTCTTTCATCGGGGCCAGAATAAATTACACCTTTAATCCCACATTTAGTCGGGTTTATCAGGTTAACAGTCCATTAATGAAACATTGAAAGGCACATCCTGAAACTGAAAACAGAATTTGAAACTAAAAACTGAAACTAACAGAAAATAATTTTATTCTGAAATATATAAAATCTAAAACTGCAATTTAAAAAAAAGAAATAAAAAAAGAAAAAGTGTAATTAAAATACTAAACTGAGTCTACATTCAATTCTTATTTTTCACATTATATTATTTGACAGGATATATCAACTTCTATTTTCTGTTTCAATTTTAATTTTTTCAGTCTCAAAGATTTTGAAGTTTACAAAATGTTGACTCCTTTCTGACTCCATAAGAGTAGCTTCATTCAGACCAGCTTGAAGATTCTCTATAGCTAATCAGCTGGTTTGAGGAGAAATGTGATTTTCCATCCCTCTGAAAGCTTACCTGAGCTGGCTTCATAGGTTTCTATCACCATGTCTCCCATGGCTCTGCTGCCCATGTGCTGGTGCTGGATGGCTGTTCTCTCCAGCTCACTCTTCCCATTTAATGCATGTTTGGCTAAACAGAGACTTTTATCCCGCAGCTCCTCCTCTGACATGCCTTCAACTGGAACCCAAAGCACATGCGAGCTGAATCAAACGGTTATAGAAACAAAACACTCAGACTAGCAGCAATCAGGGTTAGCTTTAGCTCTGACCCCCACTTTCAAAATGTATGTTTGGAAATATTTGCTCACCAGCAGAGTATTGAAACCCTTGTGGAAAGGGGGACTGGTCGGCTATTTCCAGACGGATGACAACCAGTGAAACACTCATGTGTTTAGAGGGAAGAAAGGACGTTTACAGAAACATAAACAAACAGCTGACAGCTGAGCTAGCAACACCACGCTAGCTGGATGACTAGCTGTTCGGTTCGCGTCCCAGAAAACCCCAAAAAAACTACCAGCTTAAAGCAGAGAAATACGAGGGGTGTTTTTTAGTTCAAAAAAATAGTTCAACTACCATGTTTTACTCTGCCTACATTTAAATATGATTATATTAGTGCTAGGATGTTCAACTATCTAAACTTTAGCTAGCTGATCTGATGCTAGATAGCTCTTCCTCTTGATCCCACAAGGCTAAGCATTTATCGCCCCCTACTGGTGCGGAGTGGTAACTACAAATAAACCGACAAATAATAAAAAACAGAACTTGCTTAACTGATATCTACACATGAGAGGGAGAAAAATATTTACACATTGACTTTAAACCTTTATAGGGTCAGTTAGCGTTTCAAAGATGCTACTACATGGCTGTACATCTTATTTTGGCATTTGACCAATTAGATGAGCCCTTGAATGGTATATCACCTACAGTAAATTAAGTTGAAAAAAAGTTAAAAAGTAAAGAAAAAAAGGTACAAAGCTAATTAAAAAGTTAAAAAGTCAACAAATAAAAAGGTAAAAAGCTAATTAAAAAGTTAATAAGCCTAGTTAACAATTATATTTAGGTTTATAAACAAAAACAAAAAAAAGTAAGTGCCAGCATTAGCATTAATGCCTCCATGGTTATGTTGTAAAGTGACCAGATTCCTGCAATCTAATCTGGGGACATTTCCAGCTCGTAGATAAAAATAAATACATGTGGTGAAAATTAAAATAGGAAATGGGTGCAGTGATGCCTTTATCCATATTTAGATATTTAGGTTTAAAACTTTCCTTTTTGATAAAGCTTATAGTTAGAGTGGCTCAGGTTATCCTGAGCTATCTCTATAGTTATGCTGCTATAGGCTTAGACTGATGGAGGACATAGGGACCCCTTTCTCATCATTCTGCTTCATTTTCTCTCTATTCTCCCACTCTGCAGAATCTGTTAGTTCAATCTCTAACGTTCTGCTCTCTATGCTTTTTCTCATAGTAGCTTCGCCTCATCTATTCCTGTTTGGCTGTGACTCCATCCTGGAGAGAAATATCAGCTGTGCTGCTTCCATCAACACCTTTGTTTATAGATGTTTGAGATCAGCCTGTTTTTTAGTGTAGTCCTATTTCTCTGACCGTGACTGGCTGGATGTGCTCTCTTCATCCTCTGACATGGGAGCTGGCTCGGAGTTCTTCTACATGGCTGTGTGTTTCCTGGATGGGGCCGCCTTTTATAGCTGCTTTTTGTATCTCTGCTTCTGTCTCCTTGAACCCCAGTCGGCCTCAGCAGATCATAATCATATGATACCAAGTAAAAACTATACAATTTGATGAAATACCTTATGACTTTGAATCTGATTACTTTAAATCTCGATATTATGGACTTCATCTCATAATAGTGACATCCCATGTACATGTTTTTCCTCTTTAAAGTGTCAGAAATGGGCTTCCGTAGATTTTAAATATCAAGGCACCACTTAAAACACAACTAGGCTACTTCCTATGTTGATGCCATTTGTCATATTATTACATCCATGGTTAAAACATTTTGTAGATAGATTAACCAATAGTTGGGACTCCGTTCTGCACCATTGTGTGGGTAAAAAGTTGAAAAGTTTAGTAAAATAAACTGAAGTTTGTGGCTGTGTCGAAGTAGCTCAGGCAGTTCTCAGTGAAGAAATGACGCACATTTTCTCACATTTACCCTTTTTATTTTAAAAAAAGAAGAAAAAAAAAGCATCGACATTCCAGTGTTTGTGTTTTCCATTTTCTAACAAAAGGGAGCGATAAGACGACACTCTAGATTGTCAACCCTTATTAAGCAAACCTAAGATCACCGGCATCTTCTCTGCAGCCGCAAAGCCAATCGCACAAACAAAGAATAGAAAGGGCTGGACCTTTGCTTTTAAAAACAAAAACACAAAAGGTTTTAATTATTGGACAAGGATGGAGGCAGGACTTAGAGGGAGGGGGAGGCGCCATTTAATATTGGTTCATACTTCTAAGCCAAATTCCCGCATAAAGAGTGAAAAAAACCAAACAGGGGGGGTTAAACAGTCATCAGTGCTCCTCAAAAGAGGCAGAAACAAAACAAGCATAAGAGGATTCCGGTATTTTAGAGTGAAACAAGTTGGTTTCTAAAACAGGGAGGAGCCAGAATACAGGACAAGGTTTCACTTCCTACTGTAGCTGCTTATAAAAAACAAAAACACACTTCCTTTCACGCTGTATTCGGATTCTATATACAATTAGGTCCAATGTTCTGTTGGTTTGCCCGTCCCAGAGCAGGACCGTAAAATAAAAACTCACAAGCATCTGGAAAATGGGTATCTCTACGCCTGTCACTACGTACAATGGTGGCCGTCGGTTGCATAAAGACGCTTTAATCTCACCAGCCTGCAGCGCGTTTGTGGTAAACATTCATGTTGAGATCATCACTAAAAAAATGATCGCTTAAATAATGAGAATCAGTCGAGTTTTCAAATGGTCTGGATTTTACAAGACTTGTCCACAAGCACCACAAAAAAACCAAAAAAAACAATATTTATTAAAAAAAAAGGAAACATCCTCCTGTTATTTAGCTCAATTCGTGTAATACTGCAACTACGAGGGTTCAAAGCAATAAACGACGTACAGGAAGCTAACCGAAACAAAAGAGGATGTAACGATTCTGTAACGGGGCGCTTCGTCAGTCCAAAGCGCCCCCTGCTGGCTGCCGGGCGTTCGTCCCTCCAAAAGCAGCTGAAAATTAAAGAAATAAAAAAGAAAAGCAGCACATAGACAGATCCTTCCTCCTCAGCGCTGAAGTTGTGCGTCTAAAGGTGAGTTTGTGACGTCACCAGAGAACAGGAAACTTACCGACAAACAGGATAGTGGTTTATTAGGTCTTATACTCTCATGAAGTCAATGAGTTATGGTTTATATTATGTACAATAATTTATTAGATTCTAAAACTGTATATTCATTTTTCCTTATGTGAGATAATTCTGTCTAAGAATGCACCTGTTGGGTGTCATTCGCAGATGCTGCGTCAGTTCATGAGTTTTCTTACAGGCTCATGTGCTATTAGAGTTGTGTGAGTTCTGGAGGCGCGTGGTGACGTGGAGCGGGAGGAAAACAAAGACCCAGACGGAGCTCCTGCAGCCCCAGGTAGTGAAGAGGACAGGAAACGGGCAGCGTGGCGAGGTTTCCGTTTGACTCGCGGCGGATCAGACAGGAACGGGGGTGTGATGGTGGAGGGGGGTACAGTCTTCTTCAGTCCGGGCGGCTGTGCAATGCTCAGATTTTAAGGTTCTTTAAAGTTTCAGCTCTCTTTTTGAGTAGATCGCCCACCTCCTGGAGCGAGCGAAGGTAACTGCCTTGAACCTTCTCCATGGCGACCTTCGTAAACGACGCCTCGTCCTGAAACAAAAACGGAAATGCAAACGTCAAGGATTTCTTCCCACTAGTCCTACAAAAGTCCTCAACTTTGCCCAATTTAACCCCTGAAGCCTGCAGCTCAATTTACCAAAAAAAAAAGCACAATTTAGAAGACATTTTTAATCGTAAACTGCTAATCTGGTCATCAATGACAAAGGTCCTGGAGGATGAAGTGAATTTGAAAGTAAATTAAACTGAGCCTGAGTAAATTAACTTTAAATGGCAAAAAAAATAACTTCTACCTAAAAAAACATGTTTACATTAAAAAAATAAAAAGATTCTGTAATGAACAGAGCATGTGAGCGGTGGAGCGGAGTGGAAGAAATATGGTGGAGCGCAGAGGGGTTTTCAATTCAAAGGCCGGAGCGAGGATTTCGCTCAAAGTCAATGGAACAGACTTTATTTAAATTCATGTTTGACCTAAAACCTAAAGGCCACTACCGATACTGTAGTCTGTGCCTATAATGTTATAATATGTTTAAAATTTACCACGGAATCGCAGAGACAAGGATTGCATATTGTGAGGTAAAAAGTTGGATAAAATATCATAAAAACATACACTAACTATTCTTAACAACACAGAGTGAGTTTACATAAAGTGATCGTTGTGGTAAAAGCCTGTCTTTGAAAATGGATCGCATCCATGCATTATACTCCATTATCTCATTAGCAATGGGAGGCGAAGTGACCTTTTTTAAAGTAGTCTAGTAAAATAAATGAATAATTTCATAGGAAACGTGGGGCAACATGAATGGAGCGAGGTGTTACGTTCACAGCTGGGAAACCAGTCAAATAAGACAATACACATGTATCGGTCTCATCATTCAATCAAACTCAGTGTGTCTAAGGGCCCTGGCATCATTACATGAAGGAAAAATGTCAGAAAATGCCTTCTCCTGAAAATTTGAGTGATTTAGTGGGAGCAGTAGGAAAATGATGGTGAGCGCCGAGCGGATTTTGAGCGGCAGAGCAAATTAATGAACATCCTCCCGAGCGGATAGCGGGAACTGTGCGGCGCTGCGCTCCAGTCACATGATCTGGTAATGAGTGAAATAAACTGCAGATACGACATCTTGGTTGGATATGTAGCAAGTATGGTGTCCATACAGAAAGTTTGAGAATTTTAGCTTTTTTGTAAATATGTTCCATCCAAGAGACGTGAAGACGAAGTTTTAGCATCATCTGGACTAGGGGTGTAAATCACATCCATCATGGCGATTCGATTCAGTATCGACTTCCTGACCCAACGATTCGATCATTTTCGATACTCAAGAATACACCACCATACAATTCGATTAATTTTTTTGTTTGTTTTTTACACCTTATAGGCTAGACAATGTTTCAAATTTGAAATAAATCAATGAAAGCTGCAATATCGTTATGCTTTTTTTTTTTTTAAGAAACAACAGCACATAACAGAAGTAGAAAAGTTGTACTCCATCTATTCCTATTAAAACCTCATTCACTGAAAAATAATAATACCCCAGCGTTATAGATTCTGCAAGACTTTGCATCAGAAAATACTGCACAAAATCAGTGCAATGAGTGCAATGCAATACTTCGGCTCCAGTCGTCCCCGCCCCCTCCACAGAAGCCCCGCTGCTCCTCTCCCAAATTGTAGCTAACCGCAAACGGTGCCACATACAGGAGGCCGGCTTGTTTTGTTTTTATGACCGAAATTGCAGAAAACAACTTCTGAAGTTTGACCCGCTAGAAGAGCGACTGGGACCCTTTTTCCACTTGGATCTCTACTCTTTTGGCCCTCATGTCCCTCCGTCGTCGGACTAAACTCGTCCCCACTTCCTCACCGCCTCG